GGATGACCAGTTTCTTTATTCAAGTGCTCAGTTGAGGAAAAGCAAGTATGGGGGCAAAAAAGATATTATTTCAAGTTACAGGTAAAATATTTTATAAGTAGAAACCTAGTATGAGATATATTCATACTCCTTTCCAATCATTGACTAGTGTCAATCAGACCTGGAGAAGTTTACTTAAACTTCCTAATATTGTCTTAGCAATTATTTAATGATAAAAATAATTTCTCAAGAATTCTGAGGATGTTTAAAGAACATGGAAATAGTTCTTATTATAGTGTGTTGCGAGTTGCATAATTATCTACTTGTCTTGAGAGAAGAGGGCCTCAGATCCACTAACTCATGAGGCTTTGTGACACAGTGGTTACAAGTTGGGCTGTGATCCCAAGGTCAGAAGTTCAAAACTACCAACAGCTCCATGGGAGAAAGATGGGCCTTTCTACTCCCATAAAAATTTACAGCGTCTACCCTGCCATATAAGGTAACTCTGGCAGTTACATAATTTCATGTCGATATGTATATAAAAGTGCAGGGGTAGTAAGTATTCAACCTGTCAATCAAGTCAAAAACTGATGATGGCAGTGAGTTTTGAGTTTTCAGCCAATACCTAATATGGTATATATTTCTAGATACAAGTCATTATTTAAATTAATGTTCCTCCTCTTGAAATAGTGTTGTGATCAGTTGACAGAGCTAATTCGAGTAGGTATCCTTCTACTTGGAATACAGTCAGCTGATGCTATTTAATATAAAAACAAAAACACTGCTATCAAGTTGATTTTGACTCATAGTGACCCTAAGGGTTTTCTGAAACTCTAACTCTCCCCAAAATCATCGTTCTCTATGGAGCACTTATCAACAGCAAACATGTAAGCATAGTTCCACCAGACTTCTTTATGGTTTAATAGAGTATACTTTTCTACAGGTAAACTTGTTTGGAGCCCCCATTGCCAGAGTTAGCTCTGGGTCTTTTTATAACCAGAGGAAGGAGCAGGAGAGCAAAAGATCTCTTGCTTAGTTTCTAAGGATGAGATAAAAGGCATGAGTAGCTTATATCTTCTACAAATGTCTTATTATTTAGGAAATCCATATTGAAGTTGGTGTGCTCTTCTAAGTTTTCTAAGTTGAACAGGAAAGGGAGGATAAGTTCTAGGTAGCCGGAAATGGTAGTGCTATCAGAGAACATCAAGGATTTTTTAAAATAATTAAATCATTTTATTAGGGGCTTGTACAACTGTTACCATAATCCATACATCCATCCATTGTATGTCAAGCACTTTTGTACATTTGTTTCCCTCATCATTCTCAAAACATTTGCTTTCTATTTGAGCCCTTGGTATCAGCTCCTTATTCGCCACCCCCCATGAACCCTTGATAATTTATAAATAATTATTATTTTTGTCATATATTATACCATCCAAACATCAGGGATTTTGTGTAAGACTTATTTGCAATCACATGATGCTGGTGGTAGTAGAAAGTGCTGAGTTAAACTTAAGACACATTGCTTTTACTGTAAATTTAATCATTTGTTTTTTTCTGAAAACACTGGTTCTTTGTGGAACCCAAGGGAACCTATAAAATAATCTTTGCTGATCGTGATATTCAACTTTGGAAAAAGTAAAATAGATAGACATATCCAGTGAACCCTCATTTATCGCGGTTAATCGGTTCTAGACCCTACCGTGATAAATGAAATTCCGCGAAGTAGGATTCCTTATTTGTAAATCAAATATTTTCGTAGTTAGAGCATAGAGGACATGAAAAAACACCCTTTAGTCACCATTACACTCGTATTACCCAATTTATTAAACGAAAAAGGGAAAATACAGTAAAATATTTTGGACGTTACAATTATCATTTATTATTTATTATATTATTTATGGCATCAAGCGTGTACAGTATGAGCCAATCAGTGGCAGTAATGACAGAGCATGCGCTGTTACGCAAAAACCGCGATAGAGTGAAGCCGCGGAAGTTGAAGCGCGAAGTGGCGACGATTCACTGTAAATCATTCTTTCATGGTTGAGGTCGGGTATATTTTTAGAGTAACACATACTTAGGATGCTTTTAGTTGGCTAAAACTGGTTAATATTTGGTATGCTTTTTTTCTTCTAAAAGTAATAGTAGGAAAGAATAGTAACAGTGTGAGAAGGAGATTTGATATGCTCAGAAAAATAGTTGCTGTAGTAATATAAACTTGATGATAAGCAACTATACTTTTTGGGATACTTAATAGATGAATACAACCCAATTCACATCTACAGAAGCTTGGAAAAAACTTTCAGGAAGAGATACTATGAAGTTAAATGGTCAAAATCTGGCCTATTTTAATGAATTGCATATGTTAAAAAGTAGAAGCAGAAAAATAGACTATACTTATTTGAAAACAATTTTAAAAACTGATATAACTTTTTAGTGGTTCAAAAGGGAGATCAAATGACAAGTTATTACATTTTACCTTAAACACATTATTAACTTTACAATTGTCTTTGTCTGATAATAAGGCTAGTCCTAAACCTTAACTATGGTCCTAGTGAATTCCTCAGAGGCTTAATAGATGTACAGACCTTGAAAATGGATTTTGGGTTTCCATTGTCATGCGTAGATTTCTGGAAACCAAATAGTCACAATTTAAGCTTTGATACTTTGATACTTTGATAGTCACAATTTAACTTTGATACCGCCTTCAGATTTGAATTTTATTACCTCACTTCTAGGGCTGCTTATTTGAAGTTAATACTTTAAGACCTCATATGCTATTTTTTTCTGATAACAGGGCACTATCTAGTTTCTTCAGCACACTTTGTATAGCACCCATATTTTTAGTGATCTCTTCATGAGGGTGGGCATTAAGTAGGGTCGTGTCATAAAGACAAATTGTTTTTAAATTGAGGCTAGAATTAATTCTGAGCCCCAAATCCATTCATATGTCCTTAGTTTGTATTTCTTTATAGTATATATGTCACCCTAGAGACATCATTGTCATTCTGTGTCAGAAAGCTTCATCAATCATGCACCTGGGACATAAGTTAATTCTATCGATAATGTCATTAATCATGCAGAGTGCATTGGAAAGTGGATTACTGTAGATGCAATTAAATTAAAATTTAACACCTTATCATTTGATCTTCCTTTTGACCCTTTTAAAATTTGTTCTAGTTTTTAATAAATCATGTTTTCATTTCAATTGAAGTTTTTCTCTGTTTTACTTTGCTATTGTTTTTGGTTTTTATATGTTTTCTGTATGTGAAATATAGGACAGCTAAATCTACAAAGACAATCATTGGAATAATGGACTCTTAGTGGTATGTTATGTGAGGTTGGGGGGAAAATAGAGTGAACAACAGCGAGTACACACAAAAAGAAAATGTGTTAAATTATTGTGGCAATGACTGTGCAACTCTTTTTATTTTGAATCAACTATTGAATTATAAGATATGTGAATTATATTCCAATAAAACTGTTCAAAAAAAGAGGCTGAAAATTCTAAAAAAAACAAAAAACCCTAAAGGTAGCTACAATTACACTGAAACATGTTTTGATTCTTTATTCAAGCCTAGATGGATACCATGTAGAAAATAAATTAAAGAAAGTCTACTAAGGCGAGATCATTTTGCTTCAAAAAATAGTTATTTGATTAACCACTATAAAAAAATTGTTTCAAATAGGGCAATCATGATGAGGGTCACGATTTAAAATGAAATCTTATCATTTAAAAGTGTTTCTCTTAGGTCTTCCCTTATTCTTAGCTGGTAGAAAGGATATGATATGGATATTCAATTTTTATTTTGTTTTTTTTGTCTTCCTATTGCAGTCATTAATTAAAGTAATGTAAGCCAAATATTTTCTTTTGTTTGTTTATTTTCTGCTGTTGATGTTTTTAATGTCATGGAATATGTAAAATCAGTAACATGCAATTTTCCCCCAAACTGAGGAATTCTATTACCTAGTTAATTTTAGAGTTCTGTGGGGAAAGGATTGAGTCAATGTGAGAACACAGATATAAATTTTTAGATTGGTCAACCTCAATCAGAGATAACTTAGAGATAATTTATCACAATAGTTCCAAAACCTGGTTCCACACTGGAATCATTAGCTGAAAGCACATTTCTAGTTTAGAGCTCAGACTTTCTTCCAGGTGATTCTGAAACAGAGTAAGGATTGAAAACTAGTTATATAATCCAAGTATAATGATTTGGGGAAGTAAGATTGTCAAAATTCCAGGTTTCATTCAATGGACATATGTGCTATTTAGTAAACAGCATACATTTTACTGTTAGGTTAGGTTTCCTAGAGAAGCAAATCAGTGACAATTGCATGTGCATGTGTATCTAAAGAGATTTATATTTTAAAAATGGCTTACAATGTTGTAGATGCGAGTTAAATTCAATCTGATTTAAGTTTCCTGATTCATGGTCTGCAGGACCTTATGAACAGGAAGCAGAAAGATGAAGCAGGAGAGCCCTAGGCTGGTGGATACAGAGCTGAATAAGTATGAGGTCAGCTGAATAAACCCAAGCTCTTCCACGCTCAGATGGTTTCTGGGATTGACAGGGAATATAATGAGAGATCAACAAACTTTACATAGGTTCCAGATGTAGCAGAAGGTGAAGGAAAAGAGCTCAGTTTTGCTCAGGGTCTCTCTCACTCAAAGCTTATACACTGAAGGAGGTGTCATCAGGTCTTGACATGATTGGTAGGATGGGCACCACCCCTGTTTTTACCAAGGGATTTTGACTAGCCATAAAATCTAACCATCATAGACCACCCATTGTTAACACTTGTATACAACTCTTTAACCATACAAAACCTTGAAACAAAGACTAATAATAAACACGTATGTGTGCCTAACATGATGTAACTATCAAGCACTAACCCCATTTTCATCTTATATATGGTAAGTCAACAGAACAAAAATGTCTGATACATACCAATACAAAGGAATTACTCAAAAAAATAATAATACAAAAGGAATTACTCATTAAAAAATTATAGACCTCATACTTACCTGGCAGGGGAGATACCATGATCACAAAGGTGGTTTTCCCAGGGCTAGGTCTGTCCTTTGCAGCCTGGATGTGCTGACCACTGTGATTTCCCCAAATGTAGGAAACTCAACCACATAATTTGTGGTAGTGGGGGACTGTGTATGCACTCTCCTCTAAATTAATTAATTAAAAAAATAAAATAAAATTATCGACCTTGTTCCTGCAGCTTCTCTTGTGGCTGTAGCTGGTATGTAAAAGTACCTTCTTTCACTATATAATCTGCATTCCCTTTACACTTAGCAAGTACCTCGGACTGTCATGGTTCTTTCTCTGTGGAGAGGGGGTCACCCAAGCCTTCATTCCTGAAGAGGCTGGGTCATTAGTAATCATGTCAGAATTGAGTTGCTATAGTTTAACATTGACTTTAATCACAGAACATGGTAAGAGATGATCTAAGGAATCGCCTAGAATCCAGACATATAATTCTTTATTATGCAATGCTAATCCAATTTGCACACAGTAATCATGATCTATCATACCGTTAAATGAAAAAAACTCCCTTTCTGTCTGTTTATCTAGAGGCATAAGGATTGCACAATGACCAGGAGGGATTCTGAACTTCCATTTCAATAAGTTCAGTGTTGCATCTGCAAGAAGGGGTATTCCTTCCACTGGAACTAAGACCTCAGGCCCAAAGGGCCTGAGGCTGCAGGGACAGGAAGTAAAAACATGGCAAGTGGGTCATTAGGAGTAAAAGTGACTCTCCCCACTCCCATTTCCATCCCTTAGTTCTTGGAGCCATGAATCCTTGCTGTTTGAGAAACAGGTCCAAATGTTGGACCCTTGTTTAGAGCACATACAGTCTTCCTGAGAACATTACCTCAACTCTGCAAGATGTTGCTACCTAGCTGTGCTGTAGTTGCGTCTTAATTTAATTAAGGCAGTTACCACTGTGAAACCTGATTAACATAAAATAGCAACTACAGGAGTTTTCAGAGATGCAGGGTCTCCTTCAAAAAGTTGTTTGTAAAAGATGTGACTTGGGGGCGTTCTGTTTGTGGGTTTATGGATTTATCCTGATAAAGACACTCAAGCAGTATACTGATGTAGTTATGTTACTTCAACTTAATTTACTATAAGCCACCTGATAACTGAAGTGAATCAAGAAAATAAAATATTACATTCTTTCCTAACCACTCAAGCTGAAACCCTAAATGAAGAATGCATTCAATGGGCCTGTATTGATAAACTCAGACAAATCCAAGTTTATTTTTTGGACCATTATCCCACACCCATAATAACAATTGCCACACACATTCTCCAGGCTTCTGTCTGTAAATATTATAAAACTCTAGCAGTTCTTTAGGACTATATTGAACCCTGCTTGGGTCACCACCTACACTTCCCTTTTGACACTGTTGTAAATTATGTGTCATTACAGATCTAAAAGACATACTGGGTGGGGAGACTGTTTCCTGGGAAATTATAGCAATATTTTACTAGGTGTCTGTCACAGACAATGCTCCAAATACAGCCCTAGGTGCCGTTTCAGCATGCAGAATTGAGATACTGTCTACAAGTGTGTGTGTAGGGGAGGCGTAATGGTTTTACTAGACTGAATTAATAATCTCTTCAGATGGGAGAGCCGGTGCGTGACTGGAGTGGCTCATGGAATCTAGGAGCTCAATGTCTCCATCCAGCGGATTACAAGCACATATGTCCATATCCCAAGTTTCGGGATTCCATTTCTTTCCAAACCGTGCTCTCACTTTAATATCAGATACCTTTCTAGGGGAGAATTAAGATAGTTTTGTAATTCAGTTTGTAATTCAGTTATTTGTATGACAAGAGACTGGGATTGATTTCCAGTGACAGCAGCTCTGTTATTAGAAGAAGTAGGCCTCTTTTTCGTGTCACAAGAATAAGCTTTGATGTCTTTGAATAGGAATTTGGGCTGGGCTTCTGATCTTCTGAATCCATCTTTTATCTTCACCAATTATGTGTTGTAGATAGTACCAACATACCATCTTCCCTATATTCTCATATTGACAAAGCTGCATTAATCCATCAAACATACATGAAAGTACAATGGACCACCAAATGTCAAACATATCTGTCTTTGGATGTAGTACAGCCAGAGTACTCCTTAGCGGCAAGGATGGCAAGATGTCATCTTACCTATTTTGAACATGTCAGGAAGACCATTCCCTGGAGAAGGATATGATGGTTAATAAAGTAGTAGTTGTTGTTGTTTGATGCTGTCGAGTGAGCTCCAAACCATAGAGACCCTATCTATGCACAACAGAATGAATCACTACATGATCCTCTACCATACTTATAATCGTTCCTATGCCTGCACCCATTGAGGCAGCCAATGTGTCAATCCATTTCATCAAAGCTTTTCCTGTTTTTTGCTGCCTTCCCACTTTACCAAATATGATGTCCTTCGCCAATGACTGGTCTCTGCTGACAATATGTCCAAAGTATGTAAGACAAAGTCTTGCCATCCTTGCCTCTAAGGAGTACTCTGGCCTTACTTCTTCTGAGACAGAGTAATTTATCCCTTTAGAAGTCCATGGTACTTTCAATAGTCTTCTTCAGTACCACTATTCAAATGCTTCTGTTCTCTACAGTCTTCATTATTCACATACCATGGGGACTACCATGGCTTGGGACACGTGCACCTCAGTCCTCAAAATAATATCCTTGCTCCTCAAAACTCTAAAGAGGTCTTATGCAGCAGATTTCCTAATTATAATTGTCTTCTCATCTCTTGACTGCTGATTCTATGATCCAAGTAAGACAAAATTCTTGACAACATCAACCTTTCCTCCATTTATCATGATGTTGTACCTATTGGTCCAGACTTCTACCAATCATGATGCCACATTCCTCTTAATATAATCCAGCTACTTTGATGATTTACTCAACATATATATTGAATAAGTATGGTAAAAAGATATAACCCTGATGCAAATTTTTGCTGACTTTAAACCATGCAGTATTCCTTTTTCTGTTTTCACAATGGCCATTGATCCATGTACACACTTCAAATGTGCATAATGAAATGTTCTGGAATATCCATTCTTCTCAAGGTTATCCACAGTTTATTGGTCCACAAAGATTAATGCTTTCCCATAGTCAATGAAACACAAGTAAACATCTTTCTGGTAGTCTCTGCTTTAAATCAAGATCCATCTGACAGCAGCAATGATATCTCTTGTTCCACATGTTCTTCTGAATATGTCCTGAACCTCTGGTAGATTTTTGCAATGTACTCCTGCAACCATTGTTGGATTATCTTAAGCGAAAATTTATTTGCATGTGTTATCAGTGATATTCTATAATTTGAGCACTCTATTGGGTCATCTTTCTTTGGACAAAGAATGTAGTAGTTACATAATCTGATGTCAATTTGCGACTTGAGAGGATTAACAGTGAAGGCATGGAGTCTAGTCTGTCAGTCAGATCATAGCCAATGAAGCTTCTGTGTGGGAATGGTTTTCTCCTGAGAATTCTGGAAAGTCTGATTTTTCCTCCTTGGAGGTGGGAGACAAACTCTCTCTGCTCACTCCTGAGATGATGCTCTACTGAAAAGATACATGGTACTACGCTCTGGGAGCTGGAGAAGCCTCATGGACCTACCCTGAGGCAACCAAACCTCTGGAGCTGGAGAAGCCACATAGAGACCCCTGCTAGCTCTGAGATGCTTACAATGCCACTGGATCCAGAAGACTTCCAACCCAGTGACCTGTGATCTTCCTGCACTCGGTATTGTGATGTCATTGCATGGGTTTAATGAGTCTGAGGAGGACGTTAGAGCTTCATATCAGATATATGGGTTAATATTGGACTTATGGACTTGATCTGACTGGGCTAGGATGTTTTCTCAGTATTCAATTGCTCTTGTATATAAACCTTTTTATTGTGTACATATGGGTGGCTAAAGATTTGTTTCTTTAGTCTACCCAGATGGACACATTATGGTACTGCCTGTGGTTGGATGGCTTGCGTTGCTCTACAGAAGACTCAGCTGTTTGCTTCCTTGACCTTGAACACAGTAGCCCTTGTGAGTTGAAGGACTTCCAGTATATTACCTGTTTCATGGAAGTGAGTTGAACTGAGCCCTCTGAACTTCTATGTGGACTAGTTAGCTCTTATATTCCTTCATGCTGTATATCTCTATCCATATATATAACCAATTACCCTTTATATAAACTCTCTTATACACATATGAGTTTCTGTGGATTTGTTTCTCTAGTCTACCAGGACTAACACAGGGCACACATATGAATTTCTTTCAGTCAGTTGACCAAATAGCTGTCTTCCAAATTTCCTTGCATAGATGAGTGAGTACTTCCAGGACTTCTTCAGTGGTTCTCAACCTTCCTAATGTCATGGCACTTTAATTTAGTTCCTCTTGTCGTGGTGACCCTCCAACCATAAAATTATTTTTGTTGCTACTTCATAACTGTAATTTTGCTATTATTGTGATTTGGATGACCCCTGTGAAAGGGTCATTTGACCCCCAAAGGGGTGGTGACCCATGGGTTGAGAACTGCTGATTTAGAAGAAGATAAGTCCATTCTGGTTCAAGTCAATTGGTCAGATGTAAGCTTGATGCTTCTCCTGACTCATGCAGCTGAAGGACCTGATGAACATGCAGTATGAAGATGAAGCAGGAGGTCCATAGGGTAGTGAATGAATCCAACATTGGCCAAATGGATCCACAGTTGGAAGTCTTCAGATGGCTCATGGGTTTGGCTGGGAATATAACAAGATATCCATGAACCAGACAGAGGATCCAGATCCAGTAGAAGGTAAAGGGGCAAGAGGGAATTTAGTCCTGCCTAGGGACTCACTTACACAACAGACCATAGCCCAAGGAGGTAGCCTCAAGGTGAAATATGCTAGATAGGTTGGGCTCCACATCTACCTACATCCAGATACAATAAATTGACATAAAATCTGACCATCAAATTAATAAACCCATGTTTTGTGAAATCAAGGTTAAAGGGTAGAAGGAATAGAATATAAACATCAAATTATTTTTTTTGAGTTCTTGGGTGTTGCAGAAGGATAATGTGTGCATTGGCTAATTGATAGGTCAGAGGCTTCAGTTTATCAAGAAGTGCATTGAAGACATGGTGTCCACTTCTAAACAATGAGCCATTGC